GTTGGTTTCTATTTGAACCAGCCCCTATATATATATATATATATATATATATATATATATATACACACACATATATAGACTTGGGATCATATGAGACCAAGGCTTTTTCTTGAGTCCCGTAAGACCAATTCTCAACCCTTGGATTAGATTTACAATCTCAACATTCATAATCACAAAATTACCACGAGACTTCTCAATAATTACAAAATTGCCACCGTGCAATTTTAGACCATTATATCATTAACTTATAAAGTTGATCAATGAACATAAATTGGTCTCACGGGTCTCACGAAAAACCATTGGTCTCACATGAACCCAACCCTACATATATATATATTCTCTCTTAAAATTCAAATTTTATAATATATTACAACATAATATAGTATAACATTGGACAAATTGTATGAAAAAATAAAGTACTTTAACTTGATTCCTATTTTGGATAACGTACTTTCAAAACTTCCATTTTGGTACCTAAGATACAAAGTTTTAAACATTTAAGTATCCGGGTAACTAGTTGAAGCATTAACCGGTTATCATGTTGATGTAGCTAGTGAAGTGGTATCCAACTCGGTATAAAATTTTATTGAAGTTTAAATTCAAAAGGTAAGTCAAACACTCGTCATATCAGCGGGCACTTAAATGTTTAAAACTTTACGTCTTAGATACCAAAATAAAAGTTATAAAAGTAGATTAGCCAAAATAGAAATTAAGCTATCGTTGACAGCCTTCAGCTATTGCTGACAGCTTATCGCTGACAGCTTTGCGCTATTGTTGATAGCTTATCATTGACAGCTTTCAGCTTATCGCAACAGCTTTCAGTTATCGTGGAAGAGGCAGTTTACGGAACTTGAGATTCGGTTGTCACTACCTTTTGACTTTATTCATTAACGGTTGTAACCGTTCAACCGTCTATAACCATCGATCTCTCTTATAAATATGTAAAAACGAGAATCTGGGTATATATATATATATATATATATATATATATATATATATCATTTTTCACAGCCTTTGAAATATGATGAAAAATTTAAGAACTCGAAATTCGTGAAACCGAATGGTTATGGGGTCGAATTATTGTATTCAGAAAGTGTTATATATATATATATATATATATATATATATATATATATATATATATATATATATATGTGATTCTTAAGATTATCCAACGTCTATATCTCATCCGAAATCGCAGTTCCTAACACATTACACAGATACAAAACTAATAAACTCATCTGCACAAACAATACTTCAAATACAACAAAAAGACACCAACCTTGTTCCCAGTAGCAACCCGAATCTCAACAAATATACAGAATATAATTATGTTCTACACATGCATACATTCTACAAGCACCGTAAACAACTTACAGTAAGAGTCACTATCCTTAGTGTTCGTTTAATTATCAACGTTACCGTTAGTTGTAATATTAACTTGTTTTAATAAACTTAGTGGTCGTTTATTTATCAACGTTTAATCAAGTAAGAGTCACTATCCTTGTTTATCTTATCAGGTGAGCATGGCAAGGACCGCAAATCATATCTGTAAGGTCGAGGATCTTACCTGGTAAGTGAAGGTGGTAACTCTTACCTGCATAGCGTTTTAACATGTTAGAGACGTTGACCTGTTGGTGATCAGGAATCTTACCTATTAAGATAATTGAGATGTGACTCTTACTGATAAGCACTACCTAGTTAACGTTGATAAACGGTCTCTTAATAAATCCAATTTTGCCTTGCTGATTAGGGGCAAGTGGCAAGTTCTCCCCTATTACACAAAATGCAACATATTTTGATCGAATTTTGTTATGTACTACGTATTTTCAAAAGCATTATTATTGTATCTCGTATTTGGAAGGATTTGGAATTGAATTTTATTTGGTTTGAACGATTTTCTAGATTTCAAAAATCCCACGGGGTGGTTGGTATTTCACAGGATTTTGTAAGATTCGTATGTAATAATATTTTTAAAAAACATTTGTTGTAATAATCCTACAAACCAAACACACCAAATATTCCATATCCAAATCTTTCCACGAAACGATTCTATCAAATCAAACGCCCCCTAAAAGTTTTTCAAAATTGTAGGAAACTTGAGACATTTAAAATAAAAACTCTAAATATAGAAAATACTTCTAAATATAATGTCAAAGGAAAGATACAACTGCTAATACGACACCTTGTACTAATAGTGTCATAAAAAACTTGTTAAGACACCACAAATTGTATCAAAAACTTATTGCAACGCCTTTAGATACCACACTTTAAAATTGTTAGTCATATAAATTAAGTCTTATAAAACAGTCTATTAAGATGCTTAAAAATTGACGACATCCTAAGAACGCAAATTTTTTGTAGTGTCGTTTAACAACGATCACATGTCAATCATAAAGAAAGGAGTTCGAAATTCTATGTTTTATTCGTTAGGTCCGTTGTTATCGTTTAAACTCAATCCCAACAACTAGAGTTTCAATCCGGGTGTTTTTGACTAGAGATGTGGACCGTGCTTTTTCAGGCCTTGGTCTAAGCCTTTCAAGCCCGTTTTTAGTAAGAAAAAGAACCCGGGCTTTTTCAGGCCCATCCCGGGTTTTTGGAGTAAAAATACGCCCAATCGGCCTTTTTCTTTTTCGGACCTGATCAGGCTCTAAGACCTAAACTACAATTGATACATCCTCAAGAAAATAAAGCAAATTCCTCGCAATAAAGCATCAAATGCAGAAGCAGAATGTATAGCTGGTAGAAACTTTAACAGCAGAAAATTTGAAACTTTAACAGCAGAAAATAACCATCATTCGCAACATTAGTGTCCCAGATTTCACTAGAAAACACGAAAAACTATCGGGAATCTTTAGCAGCTGAGCGAAAAAAGCTATTTTAGGCCTCATAGTTCACCATCCCAGAGTTCCTCAATGTTCTTGTACTGACCATGAGTCTCGTCCACAAAATTCGTACCTCTCAGCAGCCTCGCCTGCAAAACACGGATATAAATTCAAGAATGCATGTAGCAAATATGTGGTAGAGATGCACATGGCCCGGGCTTTTTCAGGCCTGGGCCCTTTGTCTCCTGAACCTGTTGTTAGTAAGCAAAAAAATAGGTCCAATCAGGCTTTTTCAGGCCTGACCGGGATTGACCAGGCTTTTTCAGGCAAATTGGATTTGGGACTCGGTAAAAAATTGGATTTGAGAAAGTTAAGGAGACAGCATCCATGCCTGCTCGATATCAGAAATCTTAGCGAATATATCCTCGGGGATCGACCAATCAAAAATATCGAAATTTTCTTTGATTCGGGATTCGCTTGTACTCTTGGGAAGTATGCTATGACCCATTTGCAGACCCCAGCGTAGAGCAACCTGAGCGGGCGTCTTTCCCAATTTTTCCGCTACTTCAGCTAGAACCGGATGTTTGAGTACATCACTTTTCATGAATGAGGTTCCTGGCGAACCAAGTGGTGAATATCCCTGCAAAAATTGAAGAAAAACAGAATAAATGATGTTCATCTCTTGTTAAAAGTAAGAGCAAAATGCATAAAAAAATGTAACGAAGTTTGCTTTAATTCCTATTTAGTGTAACATAACTTTGAAACTTTCTATTTTGTACCCTTTTGACGGATAGCATATTGATCTTGTTTTGTTAAATGACGTCGATGTCAAGCTACAAAGTTATATTGATTTAAAAAAACGTAATAGTGGATCACCATGTTAACGGTTAAAAAATATTGACTCAACTTGATATTCACGTCATCAAATGTTACAAAATCAACATGTTCTTTTAAATATATAACATTAATATATAGCAAATACTCACGCATACTCCTGACTATGGTGAGTTTGAACCCTTAACCGCTAACCCGTGTAGCGACATGCCAAAGACCCTTTGGTGAAAATCAACATGTTGACGCTCAAAATGGATACAAGATAGAAAACTTTGAAACTATGTTAAGAAAAACAATCTTAGTTACACAAAATAGGAACTAAGGGGCCGTTACCAAACACTTACCAGGTTCAAGAATTTTGCTAGGTAAGAGGCATAGCAAGGACCGAGAGTCTTACCCGGTAGGCGAGGGAAAAGACGTTTACCAACAACCTATTTTGATAGCCGAAGAATGTTATCCGATAAGGTAAGTAAAGCGCTTACCCGGTAAGTGTTTGGTAAACGGCCCCTAAGGAAAACTGCGTTGAATTTTGCCCTTAAGAAAGGAGCACATAAAGTCATTGAATACTTGGTTAACATAGCCATTGAACCAAATGACCTAATGGTCCGATGGTATCGGTGCATCTCTATAACCCTTGTATTGTGAGTTTAAGTGTTTTAGAGAAAATCAACCCAACCCAAACAGACCTAGTAAATCCAAGGAAATGTAGGGTGGAGAGGTTGTTTACTTAGAAGACAAGTTTTTTAGAGACATTAATGTATTAGTTTGTTGTCCGTTTAATACAACTAAGGGGCGGTTTACCAACACTTAAGCGTTTTACTAGGTAAGATTTTTGGTTATCAAAATAGCATCCCATACAAGTCTCTTACCCAGTGAACACTAACCGGATAGGAGTCACCACACTCACCGGGTAAGATTTTCTCAGTCAGCAAAGTAAAATTGTTGGTAAAGACCGTCATCTCTCGCTTTGTGACAGCCCCTAAATAAATAAACATAGTCATCAATTAACAGTTGCATTTCGTCTATTAACTTACAGAAAGATGAACGCCTTTGATTTTGCAGAAGTCTCGGAGTTTGGTTTGCTTCCATGAAGGATGGCATTCCACCTGATTCACAGCAGGGGGAATGCGAGCTACATCCAACAAATCTCCCAATTTTTTCGTAGAAAAATTGCTGACACCAATGGCTCGTGCCTTCCCGGAGTCGTAGAGTTTTTCCATTGCTTTCCATGTGCTAGGGATATCTGCCGGCATAAGATTCTCGGGCTTAAACCCAACAGATCCCTTCTTCATCCGGACAGGCCAGTGGATCTTCAAAAAACATTAAACAGCTTCATTAATAATGGTAAACACTTCGCATAATGCATGGTTATTTAGGAAAATAACCTTATGATAGATTTTTCTAAAAATAGCCATTTATGCCCAAGAGGTTGAAGAAATACTAAAATAGTCAAGTTTTCGAGGTTTATAAAGACATAGCTGTTAATTTTGCCAATCCAGCGAAAAGTTGCACCGGTCCCCCCTAAATCAAAATTTCGCTAAAAACCCTCTTTTCGGTGGCATCCACGTGCCATCGTCTGGTCGGTTTGCAAACCTCACAGTTGGGCCCACCATCTGGCGGAATTCTCTGCTATTTCTTCAATCTTTTTGCCATATATGGCTATTATGGTGGATTTTGCCTATTTTAAATGCATGACCTTTAAGACAAATGAGCAGTTTTTAAAAGTGTAAGAAGGTCATTCATTTTTAAAAAATTGTCACAATGTTATTATTCTTCTAAATTGAACGCCATAATGCACACGTACAAGGTACAAGTCGAGATACTCGAGCTCCAAATCATTCAATGTTTTGTCTAGTGCCACGGGTACATCTTCTGGTGCATGATCAGTACACCTGCAAATTCTTTCCGATTATTAACTGAAAATTGAAAGCCCCCATGGGGTGTATACTGTATAGTGTATACTGAAACATCGTCCAATCCATGCACAAAAAAGCCCAAAGCCAAAGCCCAGGCCAAATCCTGGCCTTAAAGCCTGATTAGGCCAACCTTTTTTTAGACCGGGTTAAAGCCCAGCCTGAAAAAGCCCAAACAGTTCAACTTAAAAATAACCCAATTGGACCTTTTTTCAACTCGAAAGCCTGGCCCGGACCTGAAGAAGCCTAAGTTTTTTACTAAAAAAACTGGCTTGAAGGTCAGGCCCAGGCCCGAAAAAGCATGGGTCTTGCAAGTCTGATACAAGAAGAATAAGAATTAAAGGAACATGACGAACCAGAGCTTAGAGGTAATCCACAAATCTTCTCGTTTCACCACACCATCTTGAAAGAGCTTCTTCAAAACTAAACCGATCTGAACCCATAAACTCGAATCATTTACATGACTTTAAAACTTTCTACCCCTGTTAATATGCTCATGATTATAGGTGGGTCGGACGGGTTGGATAACGAGATGAGGTAAAAGGGGTTAAATTTCTAGGATGATTTGGATAGGGTTGATCCGCCAACATTTTTTGTTATTTTTTGATTTCATAGATAATAAATATATAAAATATAATATAATATAACGAAAACTGTTACTAAGATAATATTCTAACTTTTTGTAACAAAACAATTTAGGAGTTGTAATCCCTCAAGTACTTTGTCCACTGTAACCCGTTACACCCATTTCATTTTTCAGCTAATTTTCTTAAATTTAGCTGTGAGGCCTGTTATCAATAAAGTATAACTTAAATTGACTCATTTTCAGATAACTAGATTAAAATTGTTCCCTGTGAGTAAAATACAAATTGAAACCGAACACCTATATACTCTTAAAATACAAATTCAATACACTTCAGTGGCACGAATTGGGGCAAAAGATAAATAAAATAGGGGCCTCGTCGAACAATAACCATTGAACCTAAACTCCCTTCTTCTATTCATTTATTGCAAAAAGTGGTTTTGGCAAAAATACAAATATCACAAAGAAACAAAGTTAAGCTACAATGTAGAAGTTGTTACAAGAAGTATGCAGTGGTGAAAAATGTTATAGTATGGATTCTTAAATACAAGGAGATTCAAATAAGAAAGGCAAAAAGATTGAGAACGTAAGAATACATCATTCATATTTGTATTTTTTTTAAATCATTGTAAAGAGGGAACTGATAATTAGTAAAAGTGTAGGTATGTGAACGTGGTTCACATATGCATCTTCAAATGTATGTTTTTCGGGTTTACCAATGATTCACATATGAATAATTTACTTTTATGGCCTTAACTTTTTCCTTTCTTATTTGAACCTTCCCTTTGTTACATATATTACAATAATGGACTACAAAAGGTTACAAATTTTACATAGCTCCAATACCATCTTTCTGAGTTACAAAAAGTATACAAGTGTCATATCCAAAGTGAGAGGAAATATTGTGCAAAATGGGGAGTCATTTAGGTATATAACCTTAAATGAGATTTTAATTGAATCCATCGCATCCTTACCTATTAAAAGAAAAAACGGATTCATACTTATCAGAAGGTCATAGATTTGGGGACCGTTTACTAAATGCTTACCTTGAAAGCACTAACCGGCAAGAATCACTACCAATTACATTCCCAGCCACCAAAATTGATTGTTGGTATGCGTCTATCAGCTAGTAAGTGCTTACAGGTTAAGATTCACCACCCTCACAAGGTAAGATTATTAATCAAGCCTTTACCTCTTACCCGATAAGATTCTAGGTCCTTGCTATGCTCACTCACCAAATTAAATGACCTGGTGAATGCTTACCCAATAAGCATTTGGTAAACAGCCCCTTAATTAAAATCTCACTTAAGATTATATACCTAAATATCTCGCAATTTGAAACCAGATTGATAAACATATAACTGAAGTTACATAGCTACAACATTTTGCACAAATAGCAACCAAATAGCAAGAAATTCCAGTAAACAAAGGTGAGTAATTGCATACCTCCTTCTCGTTCCCATAAATTTGAGCACAGTCAATATGTCGATACCCTATCTACATGCATAAGAACAATGATTTAGAAGAAAATATAACCAAAAGTTACACAATAAAGAATGACTCTTGTGTACTTCAATGGTATAATATAAGACATTATGTTCATATAAGTTGACTGCATCATATGCCCGAAATATATTATCAGCATGGCACCATATTTTCTAAATAAAACGATCCAAGCAAAACCCATCCAAGAGTAGGGTCTGATTGTATGACCATATACCCATGTTATAATGATAACTGATAAGATCATACTATGTATCACATAAGTTATTCCATAGAATGGCCATCTAGATTAACCAAGTGAATCACATGAACATTTATCAACACAGCTATTTGATACATATATATACACATCGTTTTCAGCATTTGATTTGAAACTCCAAACAATACCTATTGCACACGAAAAGGAAGAAGTTAAACTTCATAAAACGTAAAAAACAACCCAAATCAAACAAAACTGAGGAATGGCCCACAGAACTTGATGCGACATGCCAAAGCTAGATTTGAATATGATACGAGGTCGAAACCCTTATAAACCTGGTTCATTTGGAGCGTCTCAGACACATTCTCCAAAATTTCACCAAAGTGGAGAATCTAAAATCAAAATCTCCAAAAGGAAATCACATTCAAATCCAACAGCTTCTCCATTTTGAAGAATCTGCTGGAGAAAATTTTTTGCCCAAAATCTCCATAATCACGGTTTTCTCCATTTTGGAGGATTTGCTGAACCTATAACTGTAAACACATATTCCAACCAAAAACACAGAATAAAAAAGCTCATTTCGTCATCATCATAACACACCAATGAACAGAAATGGAAAAAAAATGGAAATTAAGAGACGCAACGAACCTTGATAGCAGCAGCAACAGCATCACCAACAAGACCAGGATCGGATTGCCAGGTGCCAAGACCTACAGAAGGGATCTTGGTGTTGTTAGACAACTCAAAGAACGGAATGCCATTAGCGATTTGACCCATTTTCTTCCGATTGAACAGAGTAGTAATAGAATGAGAAAGAGAGCGAACCGGTTTTTATAACGACCCTGGCCTCAGAGCATTCTTTATAATTTATATCGAGGAGAGTGGGCCATGATTCCTGGCCTGCAAAAAATTATTAATATAATATTTAGCACGATATGTAATATAATAACATTTTTACTATAATATTTTATATTATATATTTTATGAATATTTTATGAAATATATATATATATATATATATATATTAAAAGAAGGGAAAAATACAATAAAAACCAATTGACTTTCTTGTTTGGAATGATTAAGTCCTTAGACTTTTTTTTTGAACAAATAAGTCCTTGGATATTCCAAAACATGTTAAATAAGTCATTGGACAATTTTTTGGAACAAATAAGTCCTTGGACATTCCAAAATATGTTAAATAAGTC